TTCACTTAGCATACTGCCCTCGAGGTCCATCTGTGTTGTCACAAATGGCAGGATTTCCTTTTTTTTTTTAAAGATTTTATTTATTTATTTATTTATTTATTTGACAGAGAGAGACACAGCGAGAGAGGGAACACAAGCAGGGGGAGTGGGAGAGGGAGAAGCAGGCTTCCTGCGGAGCAGGGGGTCCAATGCGTGGCTCATCCCACGACCCTGGGATCATGACCTGAGCCGAAGGCAGATGCTTAACCAACTGAGTCACCCAGGTGCCCTGGATTTCCTTTTTTTTTTATGGCTGAAGAATACTCCATCATGTACATATAAACTCCATCTTCTTTATCATTCATCTATGGATGGACACTTACGTTGTTTCCTATCTTGGCTGTTGTCAATAATGCTGCAGTGAACACACAGGTGCATATATCTTTTTGACTTAGTGCTTTCATTTCCTTCAGATATATACCAAAAGTGGTATTGCTAGATCATATGGTAGTTCTATTTTTAATTTCTTGAGGAACCTCCATACTGTTTTTCAGAGTGACTGCAGTAATTACACTCCCACCAACACAAAGTGCACAAAGTTTCTCTTTTTTTCCACGTCCTTGCCAACACTTCTTGTTGCTTGTCTTTTCGATGATTCCAGCTTGAGATTTGTCAGACCACCAGGCGATGTGAGTTTATGCTGCACAACGTGGCAGACTTGTCTTCTTTAGTCCCTGCTTTGCTCAAGGCAATTTCCCCTGCAATTCATGAGGAGTGAGGAGTGGACAGATATACCTGGTTAACTCTTGTTCACCTGGTTACCTCTTGTTACCTCTTGTTCACTCAGCAGAGTCAGTCCTAGGTTCTGGGGAGCATAATATTTATACAAGCATTGAGATCACTCCTTAGAAAAGAAATACCAAAGAAAGAAATTTGACGTACGTGTGAATTTTTTTAAATGAGAAAGTGAAAAAAATGCATCACATCAAATTGCAAAAGGTAAAATGTGCAAAGTCAAAATATGAGACAACTCCCAAGAATTAGAGACTATTTTCATTAGTAGTATGGAATACCTCTCTGGCACACCTGCATAACACATGTTGCCTACGTTTTTTGACTGATACTCTTTTTTAAATTATTTATTTATTTATTTAAGTAATCTCTACACCCAGTGTGGGGCTCAAACTCACAATCCCCAGATCAAAAGTGTCATGCTCTTCTGACTGAGCCAGCCAGACACACGAAGAAATTGTCTTTCAATCCTACAGCTTGTTACAAGAATGTCTAAAATGTTTATGATTGTTGTCAAGTTTGGGGAAACCTTATTGAGTTTCTTTCCTAAGAGGGCAGTAGGATTACAGGGTCTTTTCATACATGCTTTGAGCCCCTGCCAGGACTTTTCAAAAAAGGGTCCCTTAGGGCTCCTGGGTGGCTCAATCGGTTAAGCGTCTGTCTGCCTTCAGCTCAGGTCATGATCCCAGGGTCCTGGGATGGAGCCCCACATCGGGCTCCCTGCTTGGCCGGGAACCTGCTTCTCCCTCTCCCTCTGCCCGCCCTCCCCCCAACTTGTGATCTCTCTCTCTTTCTCTCTTTCTGTGTCAAATAAATAAATAAAATCTTAAAAACAAAAGGGTCCCTTGAAAATGGAGCTTCATTAGTTTCATGGTGGCAGATTTGCTTCTCTGCTGAAGCCAGATTTTTAGGGTCCCTGCCCAATGCGGCACGGGTCCCCCTTAACACGTGCTCTTTTCAGTGGACTTGTGCCATCGCTGTCCCACAGACCTTCAGATTCATGAAGACAAACTTTTGAGGACGTCATGCTCCAAAAACCCCTCATAACAAAGGGGCTTTAACCCTTAGCTTTCCCTCTGCGTTCCACCCTGCCTTGGGTTTGGGTCTGGAAATTCCTTTCTTCCTTGCCAGAACTTGCATGGTTTTAAGAAAATTTTAAGTGATCCTTTTCCAGAATGTTCAGGGTTTTTCAGCTCAAGGGTGAGTCACACTGAATCTCCAGGACTAGTCCCCCCTACTCTTTTTAAAAATCATTTCTTGGGCACCTGCGTGGCTCAGTCGGTTACGCATCTCCCTTCGGCTCAGGTCATGATCCCGGGGTCCTGGGATCCAGTCCCGCATCGGGCTCCTTGCTCAGTGGGGAGCTTGCTTCTCCCTCTGCCTCCCGCTCTTCCTGCTTGAGCTCTCTCTCTCTTTCTCTCTGGCAAATAAATAAATGAAATCTTTAAAAAATATATTTCTTATTACAAGACAGCAATCTTTTATTGAACCATGTTTTTGTCTAAAACTATGCACGAAGAGATTAATCTTTTTTTCATATTAACGTAAGTCGAACATCACTATTCCAAACCAGTATTATTTACAAAAATGAGCCTTTTCATTGCTTTCTTGCCAGGTTCACGAGGACTAAATCTTAAGCCAACTTCAACATAGCTTTTAGAATTTTCCTGCCATCCAATACCCAGCAACACTTCTAGGGTAGGGGACAGTCTTTTCATAGAGATAGCAACATTCATTGTTCACTGGGACCGTAGAACCACAAGTGAACAACAATAAAATGAAATCATTCCAAACAATTCCCATTTGTCTTTCAAAAGCATGCTTCGTCTAAATCTCCCTTTCTATACAGACTGGGGGAGAGAGACCCCAGAGAGTATAGTTATGTTAATTAAATTCACCGCTTTAAACAGTGAACAAGACGGTTTAGTGTGTATATGGGTGAGCTGCTATGGACACCAGCAGATAACAAAGAAAACTTCAAACTCAGAATAACATGTACCCCGACAACTGGACAGCTCCAATCCATACTTTTAATCTGGATCACAGTGAAATTGTTTGCTTTCCAGTTAAAGATATTGCCAAAATCTTTCAAAGCAGATTTCTGCTTAGAAATTCAAAGGAAAATGTTAAATAATAAAAAGTGCTGGCTTATTATATAGTTTCTGACAGGCTCCAATATCCTGGGTGCCAGAAGGTAATTCTATCTCAGTTGCTAGTAAAAAGAGGAATCTTGTATACACTAAAAATGTGATATTACAAGATTCTAGTGTCACCTGTCAAAACACGAATATCTAAAAAAAAAAAGAAATCTAGAATGCAAATTTCAGTAAGCACTTGGGATGAAGGGCAATCAGAATACAAAAGCAGGCAAAATCCACATAAATTAACTCCTACTAATCTGAGAAATCAATATAATGTATATGGAAATTGAAAAACACTGTCTAGCTAGTCATTAGTTTCTAACTAAATTATGACAGGTCGTTTCAGCATATATGTTCTCTTCCTGTGATATTTGGTTGTTCTGGCAAGACTCCAAGAAGCACTCGCCCCTGAAAACAGCTCAGCCAAAGACAGCTCTGAGGCAATTGCTTCAAATTTGCCAGATAATAAGTCCCAAGACTGCAGTCATCACTAATAGGACAAGCACCAGAATGTAGATGTTCTTTTTTTTTTTTTAAAGATTTTATTTATTTGACAGAGAGAGACACAGCGAGAGAGGGAACACAAGCAGGTGGAGTGGGAGATGGAGAAACAGGCTTCCTGCGGAGCAGGGAGCCTGATGCGGGGCTCGATCCCAGGACCCCGGGATCATGACCTGAGCCGAAGGCCTCCGCCTAACCGACTGAGCCACCCAGGTGCCCCAGAATGTAGATGTTCTTGTGAGATTTTTTTTCTGAGAGTGAATCAGCTTGCTGTAACTGACCAGTGGCTCTGTCTGCATGCAACTTGGAACTTTCTACATTGGCTTCTCTGCTGTCATTGGGTCACCTTGGTCGTGGATCATCATGGCCAAATCTTTTTTTTTTTTTTTTAACATTTTATTTATTTGAGAGAGAGAGAGAGGGAGCATGAGCGGGGGGAGAGGCAGAGGGAGAAGCAGGCTCCCCGCTGAGCAGGGAGCCCGATGCAGGACTGGATCCAGGACCCTGGGATCATGACCCGAGCCGAAGGCAGACGCTTAACCGACTGAGCCACCCAGGCGCCCCTGTCATGGCCAGATCTTTAGACATCCGATGGACCTCCAAAATGTCAGCCTGCAGCTGCCAAATTGCCCTTCCTCACTCTTTAGTAAGTTCTGGATCCTGCTCTGTGATGGCCATCTCATCTCCTGGCTCTGCATCTGGTTCCACTCCTCATGGCCGTCAAATGAGGGGAGCTGCTCTCTCTTTGCCTCTCCTCCACAGAGAGAGGAGATCCATCTCTCGCTCTGGCAATAAGCTCCTTTTCCTTTTCAGACACTCTTCCCTGCACAGCCTGGAAATCCTTTACAGCCGCAGAGAAGTCATTCAGGAGGCCATCTTTCTGAAGTTCCAGTTTAGTAATTCATTTGTTTCCTTGGCATTTGTGGAATATTGCAACTGTTGCAGATTTTCCTCTGGTTGCTTGAGTCCCGCTTACTTCCTAGTTGGCTCATCAGATTCTTTATCTGAGCATCAGCTTGGCATATCGGCTGGACGTTGCTGCTGTGCGTCCGGATGACTGTTGAAATCCTGGAGCCTGAGGCTCAGAGGGCTCCAGGTTTGGTACATGTCTAAGGGACTGTAGGACATGGTGAGGAGCTAAGACCCCCTGGCCCTGCACAGCATTCCCTGAAGCAGCCCCGGGACTGGATGCACAGGCTGATGGGGAACTGGGAAGAGAAAGGGCTGAGGCTGCCTGCACACTCCGTTTCTCTTTTCTAGCTTCTCTGGCCCTCCGCTGACCTCACCCTTGATATAAACGTCATTTGGAAGACGATCACGTCCAGATTCACATCTGGACAAGCATCCCAGCCTCCAGGGGGCCTCAGTATTCTCACCTGCTGCATCAGATACAGAGGCAAGCCCAGATAATTTCTCAGCTCCCCCCTCCGCATGGCCCATGCTGACTAAGTTCCCCTTCTGTGGTGACCACAGCTCTGTCACACTCGGCTTCCTGTTGGGGCTTCCTTGGCCTCAACCTTCATTCGGGCCATTTCCTTCCCTGACAGAGGAACCCGAACCCGGGCTCCTGCCCTGGCCGGTGCAGACATGGTGCCCCTGCTGCTGCTGCCCCTGCTGTGGGGGGGTAAGTGGGCCAACGGAGGGGGGCTGGCTGGGCACAGGTGGGAGTGGGCTGGAGCTGCAGCTGAGCCTCTGTGTCCCCCCAGGGTCCCCGCAGGAGGATCCAGGTTTCGAGCTCCGAGTGCAGGAATCGGTGACGGTGCAGGAGGGTCTGTGTGTCCACGTGCCCTGCTCCTTCTCCTACCCCTGGAGCTCGTGGTCTTCCCCTGAGGAGCTCTACATATACTGGTTCCGGGAAGGGGAGACCTATTATCCTGTGGCTACAAATGACCAAACGAAAACGGTGAAGATGGGGACCCAGGGCCGATTCTACCTCGTCGGGAACCCCTCGGACAAGAACTGCTCCCTGAGAATCAGAGAAGCCAGGAAGAGGGACGAGGGAGTCTACAATTTCCGAGTGAAGACAGACTACGTGACATACAGTTACAGAGCTAAGAAGCTGACCGTGAAGGTGGCAGGTCCGGCAGGGGCCCCAGAAGAGGGCTCTGGGACATGGAGACCCCCCTCATAGAACAGGAACAGGACCCTGGAACATTCCTTGCTCCAGGTCTTGGGGCTGGCATGGTGGGAATACGGATGGGGCCCCGGGGTCAGCTTGTGCCCTGAGGCCCTGGTCCCTCCCAGGGTCACACTCTGGGTCCCCACCTCCCTGGGGCCCAAGCACCTCCCTCTCTCCTCCTCAGCCCTGACACAGAAACCCGACATCCACTTTCCGGAGCCCCTGAAGTCTGGCTATCCCACAAACCTGACCTGCAGTATGCTGGGATCCTGCGAAGAGGGAAGACCTCTCACCTTCTCCTGGGTGGGGCGTGCTCTTGACTCGCTGGACCCCCAGACCCTCCGCTCCTCAGTGCTGACCCTCACCCCGAGGCTGCAGGACCATGGCAGCAACCTCACCTGTCAGGTGCACCTGCCAGGAGGTCAGGACACCGTGGAAAGAACCATCAGGCTCAATGTCTCCTGTGAGTGCTGGAGGGATGGCTGGGTCCCTCAGGGCCGTGGGGATCGTGTGCGCGCATGCGCGCCTTGGGAGTGTAGGTGCGGAGTGGACAAGGACAGCAATCCCCACCTTCCCGGTTCCCCTACCCCTCCTTGGGTGCTGGGTCAACTTCCATCCCAATCTTCACGTCTGAAGCAGGGCCATATCTTTCCATCCCAGACGCTCCCCAGAAACTCAACATCAGCATCTTCTTCAGCGATGTTGCAGGTAGGATAGAACCTGTCTTCTTGGGGGCTGGGACCTGGCCCTGGGGTGGGGGTAGCGGGTCAGCTCCCAGCAAAGCGGTGGGGATCAGAGCCTTAATGGGATCGGATATGGGAAAAGCAAGGATAAAAATCACCACCCTCCCTCCTCCACCTCCCATGGGTGCACGCACCTGCACTCCCACACGCTCACACACACGCACAAACTGTTCAAAGAGCATTTCACCTCACCAGTTCACTCCTCTGGTTTCCCACCTACCCCTCCATCCCAGCCTCCTCCATCCTATTTCCTGCTGTGTTCACTGAGTGAAGCCACCAAACAGTCCAGGCATGTCCCAGTGGGACACTGAGTCTCCTCTGAAGATACGAAGCCCAGACACTTGAGGTCAACCTCCTTTGGGTGTAAAGCCCAGGCTTTCAACCCTGATGGAACCAAATCAGTGGGTCAAGAAAGGAGAAGGAGATGCCAACCAGCTCCTGGGAACGAGGGAGGGATGGAGACTGCCAGCCTCCCATAGCTGGTGCCCTCTCTCTGCATATCTCTCCCAAAGTCCCAAAGATTGTGGAAAACACCTCATCGGTTCTCATCCTGGACGGCCAGGCTCTGGGGCTGCTCTGTGCTGCTGACAGCAGCCCCCCTGCAGAGCTGAGCTGGTTCCGGGGGTCCCCCGCCCGGAATGCCACCCCCATCTACAGGAGTGCAAACCTGGACCTGGCTCAAGTAGGGGCTGCAGACGAAGGAGGCCTCCTCACCTGCCAAGCTCAGAACCCGCTGGGCTCCCAGCACGTCTCCCTGCGTCTCTCTGTGGTCTGTGAGTGTGGGGACCCCTGGGGGCTGGCTGCCCCGGAGCCTGGGGAGGAGAGACACCGCTGACCCCTCGCCTCCCTCCCGCAGATCCCCCGCGGCTGCTCAGCCCCTCCTGCTCCTGGGAGGGCGAGGGGCTGCACTGCAGCTGTTCCTCCCGAGCCCAGCCGGCCCCCACCCTGCGCTGGCGGCTGGGGGAGGGGCTGCTGGAGGGGAACCACAGCAACGCCTCCTGGACCATCACCTCCAGCTCTGCGGGGCCCTGGGCCAACAGCTCCCTGAGCCTCAGTGGGCCGCTGGGCTCCGGCCTCAGAGTCAGCTGCGAGGCCCTGAACGCCCACGGGAAACAGAGCGCCGCCTTCCTACTGCTGCCAGGTCCGGGGGCTGTCGGGGGCCGAGGTGGAGGGGAAGGGAGTCCTAGAGAAGCCTGGGGCTGGCTGGGGCTGGGGCCTGCACAGAGGGCGATTGGTGGGATAGGGTGCTGCTCCATCTCTGGCCTAAGCTGGCCCTTCAGCAAGTTCTGCAAGGAGGAAGGAAAGCAAGAGACTGAGTCCTGGAAGTGAGTCTCGACACACCTCTTCTCTGCAGGGAGATCAGTGTTCCTGGCAGGAGCCGTGCCTGCTGCTCTTGGAGGTGCTGGTGCTATGGCCCTGCTGTCCCTAAGTCTGTGCCTCCTCTTCTTCTGCGTGTAAGTCTTTGTTTGGGGAGGTACAGGGAGTGCAGAGAGAGGTCACTCAATCCCAGAAATGCAGAGCGGAGTAGAGTAGATCCAGAGGGCATCTCTTTTGGGCGGTGGGGGGATAACAGCTTTATTGAGATATACTTCCCATACATTTACAGCGTACAATTCAATGGCTTTTAGTGTATTCCGAGTTGTGCATCCATTACCACAATTATAGAACTTTTTCATCACCCCCAAATGAAAGAGAAACAAACCAAAGAAACCCTCCACTCCTTAATTTTCATCCTGCCCCCATTCTCCCCCAGCCCTAGGCAACCGCCAATCTATTTTCTGTCTCTCTACATTTGCCTATTCCGAACATTTTGTGTAAGTGGAATCATACAACACGCGGTCCTTTGTGACTGACCTCGTTCACTTAGCATGATGTTTTCAAGGTTCATGCATGTTGTGGCATGAGTCAGTCCTTGATCCTTTTTTTTTTTTTTTAAGATTTTTATTTATTTATTTGAGAGGGAGTGAGCACAAGTGGGGAGGAGAGGCAGAGGCAGAAGGAGAAGCAGGTTCCCTGCTGAGCAGGGAGCCCAAGCGGGGCTTGATCCCAGGACCCCGGGATCATGACCTGAGCTGAAGGCAGATGCTTAACTGACTAAGCCACCCAGGTGCCCAATATTGCATCCTTTTTTTATTTCCATATACTGTTCCATTGCATGGATGGAGCACATTTTGTTTGTCATTCATCTACTGATAGACATTTGGGCTGTTCCTACTTTTTGGCTATCACGAATAACACTGCTATGACCACTCAGGCACAAGTTTTTAATGTGTTAGAGGGATCTTTAGTGATGGAAGTTTGGTCTGGCCAAACCTCTGCTCATCCAGGGGGATGGAGCGCTTACTTGCAGGTCAGGAAAGTCTGGGGCTACTTCTGGGGTCTGGATGCCCTTTCACCAGAGAACAGGTAGCCTGCCCATGGGTCCTGAGCCATCCTGGCTGCAGTGTGCTGGTTTCTCCCCTTAGAGTGAAAGCCCGCAGGAAGCAAGCATCCAGGAGTCGAGAGGGCCTAGATGATGAAGATCCTGTCATGGGTACAGTTGCCTGGGTGAGTGATGCTGGCGTCCTTTCATGCAGTTGGGGAGCCCTGGGCTTGTCCTTTCAGAGTCCAGATGGAGCTCCTAGCATTTCCCCATCCCCTGCTCCACCCTGGTCATCTGGGTGGACACCTGGGAGTTGACGTCCCTTCTGTTCTTCACCTTCATCTCCCAGACCCAGTGGCCCTCTGGTCACCTCTTGCCCCACCCCCGCTGATCACTCACTGGAGTGATCACTGGACACAGCCTGACAGAACCTCTCCCAAAATCTATTGCTTTTCAGCCATTCGGGAATTTCAATTATGTTGTTTGCTCCTGTTGTTTAGAGAATCGAGTCACATTTCTTGGTCTGATATTTAAAGTACTTCTAGAAGTCTCCCCTGATGGCCACTCCAGCCCTGGTCTGGCTATGGTCCAGCCACACTGGCCTTCTCATGGTCTCCATACACACCTGCTCCCCTATGACTTGGGGCCTTTGCATGTACAGTTCCTCCCACCTGGAATGCTCTCCTGTCCCGATTTTCACCAGACCACCTTGTGTGATCATTCTTCTAGCTCCAGTACCAACATCTTCTGCTCTGGGAAACCTTTGCCATCTCCCTCCCTGCCAGTGTCCATGCCTCTCTCCCCTATGTCCCCAGAGCTCTGTGTCCATCCCTGTCTTGAGGGGCACCTCATACAACATCACCGCCTTTGCCTTATCTCCGCCCTCTCATATTGATGATGTCTTTGAGGGCAGGGGGCTGCAATCGTCTCTCACTTTATCCGTATGCAACATGTCCCCTATCCCCTATAAAACTACATCCATGTTACCCTAAATGGTGTTATCCAAAATGCTTTATTCATGACCAACCTCTTATCGCAGGAACAAGCATTGTTCATTAGTACTTACTCATTTTGTTCACAATATGATAAGCAACTGTGAGCCTACCATCCAACCAGAGACCTCAAACACTGACCCTAACTTCCATCTGCTCAGGTTGCTCTGTGACCCATCCCCAGTAACCATTGCTCTGAATCTTTTGTTGCTAGCATTATCCCATATACGTATGCCTGAAATAGATGCTGATTAGTTTAATTACTTCTGAACCTGCAAAGGTTGGTCACATTCTGTTCACTCTTCTTGGACTTGCTTTTGTAGACCCAACACTGTTAGTTATGTTGTGGAGATTCATCTGTGTTGCATGAAGTTGCAGTTGTCTGTTTCATTTTATGATTTTGTCTATTGCCTAAGCTCCTGTTGCTGGACATTTGAGTTGTTCCAGATGTTCTTGTTCATATCTCATTGCATTCACATGCAAGAGTTTTTCTTCAGCATTATGTAAGAATTTAATTACTAGGTCAGAGGGTGTGTGAATATTCCAATTTACAAGGTTTTCCAGAGCAAATGTATCAATTTATACATCCGTCTGTGCCTATCGGATCCTGTTGATCTATAATCTCTGCAGCACTTGGTTTTCTGAAATTTTTTTGTCATCTCACTGTTTCACTATGGTATTGATGTGCATTTCATTGGTTGCCAGTGAGGATGAAAATCTCTCTGTCTTCACTGGCATATGAACACCTCCTCTCTAAAATGCCCGGTCCCATCTGCAGCCCAATGCCCTATTGGGTGTTTGACTTTCTTATTGAATTTACTGGAGAGCTTTATACATTTTCATACTTTTTTTTCCAGTTATATGCATTGTAAATATCTTCTCCCAGTGATTAACTTGTCTTCACTTTTTAAAGGTGACCTTGATGAACGTTAGTTCTTAATTGTAATATAACCATATTCACCAATCTCCTCTTCTCTGTTGAGTGACTTTTGGGTCTCATTTAAGAAAATCTTTCTTATCCTAAGATTAGAAGGATATTCAAGTATAATTTCTTTTTTTTTAAGATTTTATTTATTTATTTGAGAGGAAGAGAGTGAGAGAGAGCACAAGCAGTGGGAGTGGCAGGCAGAAGGAGAGGGAGAAGCAGACTCCTTGCTGACTGGAGAGCCTGACGTGGGGCTCGATCCCAGGACCCTGAGATCATGACCTGAGCCGAAGGCAGACGCTTAAACCACTGAGCCACCCAGGTGCCCCTTTTCTTCGTTTTTTTTTTTTTTTTAATAGACTCCATGCCTAATATGGAGCTCGAAATCATAACCCCGAGATCAAGAGTCACACGTGCTACTGACTGAGCCATCTAGGTGCCCCCGTCATACATCAAAATGTATTCTATTCCAGTGGTCAATTTAACTGTCCCTGAGTCAGAACTGTCTCTAGAGGCAAGGCAATAATTCGAGACCAAGTCCTGATATCTGATAGAGCAGGGGCACCTCCTTAATTTTCTTTAATAGTGTCTTGGCTATTCTTGGCCTTTTGCTGTCCTATATAAACATTAGAATCAGTTTGTCAAGTTCCAAAAAACACTCCTGTTGGTTTTTTACTGGAATTACATTGAATCTGTGAATCAACTTGGGAAGAATTTACTTACTTATAAATTCAAGTCTTCTTGTCCACAAGAACAGGTATCTATTAGTTAAAGTTTTTCCAAGAAAGATGTAGTATTCCTTCAGACAGATCTTGCAAACCTTTTGTTCTTTTACTTCCTTAATAACTAGTTTTGTTACTATTATAAATGCTATCTTTTTATTTATTATTTTTAAAGATTTTATTTATTTGTCAGAGAGAGAGAGCACAAACAAGGAGAGCTACAGGCAGAGGAGCCCGACATGGGGCTCTATCCCAGGACCCTAGGATCATGACCTGAGCCAAAGGCAGATGCTTAACCAACTGAGCCACCCAGGCATCCCTTAAATGCTATCTTTTTAAAGGTGCATTTTCTGATCACTCATCAATGATATGCAGGATGAAAACATTTGTTAAAAATTTATGAAGAGTTGGGGTGCCTGGGTGGCTCAGTTGGTTGAGCGGCCGGCTCTTGATTTTGGATCAGGTCATGATCTCAGGGTGGTGAGACTGAGCCCTGCACCAGGCTCTGTGCTCAGTGTGAGTCTGCTCATAACTCTCTCTCTCTCCCCCCTTACCCCCCTGCCCCTACTTGAGCACACGTGCACACACTCACTCCCTCTCAAATAAATAAATAAATCTTTAAAAAAAATTATAAAAGGTTGGGACACCTGGCTGGCTCAGTGGGAGGAGCATGCAACTTTTGATCTCAGGGTCATGGGTTCAAGCCCCATGCCGGGTGTAGAGATTACTAAAAATAATAATAATAATAAACTTTAAAAAATTTATAAAGTGTTTTAGAATTTAAAAAAATTACAAATTGGTCTTAGGTGTCATTTAGATTCCTATTGGTTTGGTAGCTGGAGCATTCTTAGATCTACTCATAAGCCTGCTGCACCATGCTTTTACAGAGAGATACCGTCTGAAAAATTTGTGATATTTTTGTTTTTAACTGTCATGTCTAGCTGAATCAAAGCAGCTGAATTTGATGCAAATATAACATCATTTCGTTCAAGAATCAACTCATCCTTTTAGACTTCAGATACTGCACAAGAAATCCGGCCTCATGCATCCTTTGCAGATGTATTTTTCTTCTAAGAGATTTCGTATTTCAATAAATGACTCACTCCCCTGAATCAGTGATGGGGAAATGAGCACATTCAGACTCCATTCTTTAGTCACAGAGGTCTGTGTCACACGGAGTGTTGGTAGTAGGTGGCACAAGATTGAACAGCAGCCAGTTCCTTAATTTGTCCATACAGCTTCTCCTTCTCCTGTCTACTTTGGTGGGACTGAACACCCCTGCAGAGTTCTTCTGGGGCTCCACTATAAAGGTTCATCTCTTCACAGTGACACTCAGCTCTTTGGGGTGCTGATCTGGATGCTGAGGATTGTCTTCATTCTCTCAGTAGATGCAACAATGTGTGAAAAGCAATTACATACTTATTGATCTTATATTCTTCCAGCTTGCTAAGCTCTCGTGTTAGTTATTTTTTAATATTTTATTTTTAAGTAATCTCTACACCCAATGTGGGGCTCAAACTTACCCTGAAATCAAGAGTTGCATGCTCCACTGACTGAGCCAGCCAGGCGCCCCTAAGCTCCCTTGTTAGTTCTAATAATTTGTATATAGACATTGAAGTATTTTAACAGGTTTTTTTTCATTTTTTAAAAATTAACATATAATGTATTATTGGTTTCATAGGTACAGGTCAGTGTTCCATCAGTCTTATATAATACCCAGTGCTCATTACATCACGTGTCCTCTTTAATGTCCATCATCCAGTTACCCCATCCCCATCCATCTCCCCTCCAGCAACCCTCAGTTTGTTTCCTATGATTAAGAGTCTCTTATGGTTTGTCTCCCTCTCTGATATCTTCTTGTTTTATTTTTTCCTCTCTTCCCCTATGAATCTGTTTTGTTTCTTAAATTCCACATATCAGCAAGATCATATGATAATTGTCGTTCTCTGATTGACTTATATCACTTAGCATAACACCCTCTAGTTCCAGGGCGCCTGGGTGGCTCAGTTGGTTAGGCGACTGCCTTTGGCTCAGGTCATGATTCTGGAGTCCCAGGATTGAGTCCTTCATTGAGCTCCCTACTCAGTGGGAGTCTGCTTCTCCCTCTGACCCTTCCCCCTCTCAGGCTCTCTCTCTCAAATAAAATAAATAAAATCTTAAAAAAAAAAAAAACACCCTCTAGTTCCATCCACGTTGTTGCAAATAGCAAGATTTCACTTTTTGATGGCTGAATAATATTCCATTGTATATAGATACCACATCTTTATCCATTCATCTGTCGATGGATATCTGGGCTCTTTCCATAGTTTGGCTACTGTGGACATTGCTGCTATAAACACTGGGGTGCACACGACCCTTCGGATCCCTACATTTGTATCTTTGGGGTAAATACCCAGTAGTGCAATTGCTGGGTCACAGGGTAGCTCTACTTTCAACTTTTTGAGGAACCTCCATACTGTTTTCCGGAGTGGCTGTACCAGCTTGCATTCCCACCAACAGTGTAGGAGGGTTCCCCTTTCTTTGCATCCTCACCAACATCTGTCATTTCCTGAGTGGTTAATCTTAGCCATTCTGACTGGTGTGAGGTGGTATCTCATTGTGGTTTTGCTTTGTATTTCCCTGATGCCGAGTGATGTGGAACATTTTTTCATGCGTCTGTTGGCCATTTTAACAGTTTTTTTGTTTGTTTGTTTGTTTGTTTAAAAAATTTCACGGGCGCCTTCTGGCTCCGTCAGAAGAGCATGTGACTCTTGATCTCAGGGTTGTGAGTTTGATCTCCACATTGGGTGTGGAGCCCATTTAAAAAAAATTTTTTTTTAAAGTATCCCAGTTTGGGGCACCTGGCTGGCTCAGTTGGTGGAGCACGCTACTCTTGATCTCCAGGTTGTGAGTCCATATATTTTAGAAATGCTGTATCCTCTCGTGAATTGAACATTTGATCACACATAGTGATCCTCTCTATTGCTATTGATACTTTTTGTTTTAAAGTCTATTTGGTTGGATCTTAATATAGATACACCAATTTGTCGTCATTGGCTAGTAAGACGTCTGGTATTTTTACATCCTCTGTTCCTCCAACAACATTTTATTTATACTTCAGGAGTGATTTTTTGTAAACAACATATAACCAGGGTTTTTTTTTTAAGAATTTTTTATTTTTTATTTTTTAAGCAGGCTCCACACCCAACATGGGGCTTGAACTCACAACCCTGGCACTAAGAGTCTTCTGACTGAGCTGGCCAGGTTTTTACAAATCTAATTTGACATCCTCTATTTGTGTTTTCTGTGGTTGTTAATACATGCGGATTTTGTTCTCCTATTTTAACTTTTCCTTTCACTTGGTTCCATTTTTTTCAGTATTTCATTTTCTCCTTTCTTAAAAAATTAATATCTCTCTTACACCCAACAAAAAAACTTCAGTGTACTTTTATGTATCTCTTGTTCTTCTTTCCCTCCACTTTCCACAATGTTGGTGCTTTTTCTAGATCTTCATTTCTCATTCTGGGTTATTATGAACATACTTAACGTTTTTCTATTTGGTCTTTTGTTTAATACACAGCCACACATTTTACTGAGGTATTTTGTCACCTTTGTACCCCAGATTTATTGCAGCATTTTCAGGTTTTGTTACTTTTATTTGAATTCTTCCTCCCAATGTGTTTTCAATTTGGATTTTCTTGTATTAAGACTTCTGAGGACTTGTGTGTTTGAAATTCTTTTTTAATGTTCCTACATTTGAATTTCACTTGGCAGGATATAAATTCTAGGATCGGGCACCTGGGTGGCTCAGTTGTTAAGCATCTGCCTTCGGCTCAGGTCATGATCCCAGAGTCCTGGGATCGAGTCCCACATCAGGCTCCCTGGTCAGTGGGGAGTCCAGTTCTCCCTCTCCCTCTGCCCCTGCTTGTGTCCCCTCTCTCGCTGTGTCTTTCTCTGTCAAATAAATAAATAAAATCTTTTAAAAAATTCTAGGATCAAAGTGATTTTCCTTCAATGCTTTATTATTTTATCTTATTTTTCTTTTAAGTAATCTTTACACCCAACTTTGGGACTCAAACTTGCAGCCCCAAGATTAAGAGTCACATGCTCTACCCGCTGAGCCAGCCAGGCACCCCCTTCCTTCAATGCTTTAAACACTGTACCCTATTGTTCCTTGTACCCAGTGTTGCTGTTAAGAAATATTATGTCTGGGGGCACCTCGGTGCCTCAGGTGATTAAGTGTCTGACTCTTGATTTTGGCTCAGGTCATGATCTCAGGATCATGAGATTGTGAGATCGAGCCCCACGTCGGGCTCTGTGCTCACCGAGGAGTCTGCTTGAGATTCTCTCTCTCCCTCTCCCTCTGCCCCTCCCCCTACTTGAGCGTGCCGGCTCCCTCTCTCGCCAAAAAAAAAAAAAAAAAAGAAAAGAAAAGAAAAAAAATTTATGTCTGTATGAATCTTGCACATTTGTAAGTGATCCAGTCATTGTCCCTGGAGACTTTTACATTTTTCTCTTTCGTTTTGATATTTTTAAGATTTACTATGCTGTATTGGGGTATGTGGTTTCCCTTGTCTTTTTTCTTGCGTTTGTGGGGCCCTTTTCAGCTGAGGTGGTTTATCTTTCTTCAGTTCTGGGAATTTTATCTTTATTTTTGTTCAAGTATTTCCGCCTCTTTTTATTTCCAATAACACAGCAGGCCTGAGTTTTGTTCCTGGCTCTGCTGGTGACTAGAGGAGTGACTTGGGCAAGTTACTTCACCTTCCCCCATCTCAGTCTCCCTAATCTGTAAAATGGGGAGAAAAAGTATCAGTCACACTGGTTTTTTGTGAGGATTAAACGTGATTAGTAAACCTTCAATATGCCCAAACAGTCAGAGCATTACAGAATTTTATTTTATTATTATTATTATTATTTTTGCATTACAGAATTTTATTTTTATTTTTTTAAAGATTTATTTATTTATTTGAGAGAGAGAGAGAGACTGTGAGTGGGGTGAGGGGCAGAGGGAGAAGTAGGATCTTCCCTGAGCAAGAAGCCTGATGTGGGACTCAATCTGGGGACCCTGGAATCATGACCTGAGCCGAAGGCAGGTGCTTAACCGACCAAGCCACCCAGGCGTCCCAACATTACAGAATTTTAAATGGATGCGTGAATAAATGAATTCGTAGGAAGTATGTATGAATAGGAAGATGAACGAATAAGTGCCCCATTAGCCCAACTTCCCTTGGGGACCACACCTGCCTTATTCCTTCTCTGACTCCCTTGTTTCTTCTTTATTCAGGGTTCCAGGCAAAAGCCCTGGCCAGGCAGCCCCCCAGCTCAAGCGACCCCTGCCAGGGATGCCCTTCCCTCAGGGGACAAACAGGAGCTCCATTATGCCTCCTTCAGCTTTCACGGGATGAAGTCGAGGGAACCTGAGGATGAGGAAGCCACCGACACCGGCGAGTACTCAGAGATCAAGACAAGCAAATGAGGTTGGCTTAGAGTTTGGCCCTGGCCCGAGGAATCGCGGCCCCTGGGGGAGAGGAGAAGTCAGGCACTAATTGGTGAAGCATGTGGAGCCCTGTGGCAATACAAACAGGAAGGACTTGCCGAGTGTCCCCAGGTAGACGGACTTGGGCTCCAACGCAGGCTGTCAAGCAAGTCACTTCATCTCTCTGTGCCTCAGCTTCCCGTTCTGTAATCAGAGATCATGCATCCTGCCTCAGAGGTGGCTGTGGACATTAAAGAAATTAACATGCCGAAATCAACCAACAAATGTCCTGTCTCACGTGTGCTCAGTACCTACTGCTCTCTCTTCTTTGGACAGAAAGGTAACTGGCAAGTTACCCTGAGGCTGGGGGTGACCAGGCCCAGAGCACAGGGTAGCAACCTGCTGGCGTCATTCTCCTTCCCAGAGCTCTTCAAAGCCTCCCCAGGGAAAGACCAGCCCCTCAGCCTGGCGTTTGCTTCATGATACAGCATCTTATCATCTCTTTGGAGTCTTCTCATCCCACTTGTACCTGTCAGTTCTTCCAGCACATTCCTTAACCTCCTGACCGTCAGTCCCTTTCCTGTCTTGCGGATGGGCCCCACAGGGATCTGTCCAACAGCCAGAGAGCTGACCCCGGGTCTTTTGCACAAACCCCTTCAAGGCTCCCTAGCCTTAGACAATACATCACAAGCATCGGCTGCCCCTGGCTTTTAAAGTCCATTACGACCCCCTTGTAGCTACTGTTGGAAAAGAAACAACGGGCCCAAAATGGAGGCACTTGCCCCCACAACAGCCAACCAAGACTAAAGGCAGTTTCAACCTCTCCCAGAAATGTGACCTTTATTTTTAATTTATTGACAGAGAGAGACACAGTGAGAGAGGGACCACAAGCAGGGGGGCGTGGGAGAGGGAGAAGCAGGCTTCCCAAGGAGCAGGGAGCCTGGCGCGGGGATCGATTCCAGGACCCTGGGATCATGACCTGAGCCGAAGGCAGACGCTTAACCGACCGAGCCACCCAGGAGCCCCAGAGGATCTGAAATATCCTGATCAGCACTGGTGAGGTCACCTGCAGGGTAAGATCTTCCCTGGAAAAGATGGCCCAATCTGAAAAAATCTTTTCTTTTGATAATAACTCTCTTGCCCCACCCTCCTGCCTATAAAAACTTCCCACTACGTGCAACCTGTGTCTTTATCAGAAGTCAGGAGTCATTGAATAAAGCCAATTACATCCTCAGATTTACTCGGTGGAATTTTTGGTCTTTAGCACCACCCATCTGCCCTTCCCTCCGCTTTCTTCCTTACAACTCTGTGTTGTTCTAACCCATGGCTGTGCGATTTGAGATCCCTCCCTTGGAGGCTCTGCCTCATTGCTTCACCTGGCAGACACTGGCTGGGCCTTCATACCTGAAGTCCTTGCACACACCCCGGCTGAGAGCCTGGACGGAAGAAAGAGTTCATCCTCTCCCCTCCTCTAAAGTTGGACTAATTTATTTATTTATTTATTTATTTTCAAGAAAGCACTAAAACGAAAACAGCCCAAACTTCCCTAGCAGCACTGCAGTACCAGTGCCCAGTGAGCTTTTCTGATTGTAAGCGCCTGACATTAGGCTTTAATTGAGGTACAAAATGGAAATTTTTCTAGAAGTAGGTGGGGCAAGAAAGGTATTAGCAAGAGAAAAGGATCAGTCCAGGCTAGGCTGCCTCCCCTGTGGGGAGGTGAAGGTAAGGGGTCTTTTCCTGCAGATGACCTCATCTTCCTTTGGGGGATGGAGGGGCCCTTGTGGCAGACTCATTGGCACTGATCAATAAATTCCTGACTGACCGGTTAGGACTACATTTCTGGTGGAATGACAGAGGATGCCAACCACCTCCACTTTGACCTCAGTCTGTACTTTTTTTTTTAAGTAGGCTCCATGCCCAGCATGGAGCCCAACATGGGGCATGAACTCACCACCCCGAGATCAAAACCTGAGCTGAGATCAAGAACTGGACCCTTCATCACTGAGCCACCCAGGTGTCCCCTCAGTCTGTACTTTCTAATTGATTAAAATCTCCATTCCAGCTTATCTCTTAACTCAGGCAAAAGACCTTGGAGGGTGGGGGGGATCATCCCGTGATGGAAAGTGAAACTATCCCCTTAAGCAATAAAAACTGCCCTGAGCCAGCGAGACCCAGCATGACTGACCGCAAGACAATGATCGACTTGACCTTTACTGCCTAGCAGCACGTTCCCACTGCCCTTCCTCCAACATTTTCTTTTCTTTCTTTTTTTAGAGAAAGAGCAGAAGTGTGGGTGCAGGGTTGGGGTGGGGAGAGAGGGGCAGAGAAAGACAATCTCAAGCAGACGCGGAGCCCGATGCAGTGTTCGATCTGACGACCCTGAGATGGTGACCTGAGCCGAAATCAAGAGTCAGACCCTTAACTGACTGAGCCACCCAGGCACCCCCACATTTTCCTACTATAAACCTAGGAAGATTTTTCAGCTCTCTGAAGACAGTCTTTGCGACGTTAGTCCGCGGTTGTCCCGGTGCTGGCCTTCCTGGAGTAAATTCCTGTCTTGTTTCACCACCGCTGTGTCTCTGCCTTTGGAGTGGCTGAACCCGGTCTGTTTGGGACTCCTGGAACCAGCTGCTCCTGAACCCCTGAGCCCTGGTTATAGGAGAGTGAAACTGCAGTTAGATTATGCACTAAGTCCCGATTTGGGGATTTGGCCTAAATGATGCTATTTTGTGCCTGTGGGGTTTTTTTTTTTTAATTCCAGTATAGTTAACATACAATGTTTATTAATTTCAGCTGTACAGTATAGTGATTCAACAATTCTCTACTCAGTGCTCATCATGGTAAGTGTACTCTTAATCACCTTCACTCCCTAGTTAAGAGTCTGTTTTTTGGTTTGTCTCTTTTTTTCTTTGTTAATTTGTCTTGTTTCTCAAATTTCACATATGAGTGAAATCATATGGCATTTGTCTTTCTCTGACTTAATTTCATTTAGCATTGTACCCTCTAGCTCCATCCATGTTGTTGCAAATGGCAAGATTTCATTCTTGTATATAGCTAATATTCCCCTGTATACATATACCACATCTTCTTTATCTATTCATATACCAATGGACACTTGGGCTGCTTCCATAATTTGGCTATTGTAAATAATGGTGTAAATGTAGGGGTGCATATATCTTGGAATTAGTGTTTTTGTATTCTTTGGGTACTCAGTAGTGCAATTACTAGATATTAGGGTAGTTCTATTTTTAACTTTTTGAGGCCCTTCCATACTGTTCTGCACAGTGGCTGTACGAGTTTGCATTCCCCCACCTACAGTGCATGAGGGTTCCTTTTTCTCCACAGCCTCTCCAATGCTTGTTTCTTGTTTTTGGTTTTGGTTTTGTTTTTAGTTTATTTTGTTTTAGGGGTGCCTGGATGTCTCAGTCGATGAAGTATCTGCCTGTGGCTCAGGTTGTGAGCCTGGGGTCCTGGGATCAAGCCCCACGTCGGGCTCCCTGCTCATCGGGGAGCCTGCTTCTCCCTCTCCTCCCCGCTCGTGCTCTCTCTCACTATCTCTCAAATAAATAAAATCTTTGGGGGAAAAAGTTTATTTTGTTTTAGTCATCTCTACACCCAATACAGGGTTCGAACTCAGGACCCTGGGAATCAAAAGTAGCATGCTCTTCTGACTGAGCCAGCCAGGAGCCCTCTTGTGTTTTTGATTTTAGCCATTCTGACAGGTAGAGGGTGATATGAGGGGTTTTTTTTTTTAAAGTTTTTATTTTTATGTAATCTCTACACCCAGGGTAGAGCTCGAACTCACAGCCCTGAGGTCAGGAACTGCATGCTTCTCTGACAGAGCCAGCCAGGTGTCCCGGAGTTTTGTTTTGTTTTGTTTTTTTAAACAAATTTCTGCACATTCTGCCCCCTTATGCTCAGCTTCTTCCCCAGTCCCCTGCTTCTCCATAGCTGGCCTCACATTCTCAAAAACTACCCTCTGTGTAGGTCACACTGAGGAGATCTTAATTCTTGGTGGTGGCCTGACAAGCTTGGTAGCTTCCCTAAGATAGAAGTTCACTGGGGACCTTCCTCTTCTAGGGACATTCTGGTGGCAAATGCTAAGTGAAATCCACTCTGTCACTACTAGTGAGTATGTTACATGTCCATTAGCAGCAGAGTCTCCTGAACTGGTTGGAAGATGGCATAGGAGCTGGTCCTTGGAGACGTAATCTTGATCCCTTTAGACTCTCCCTATGGAGGTCTCTCCTGCTGTCTGCAACCACCATCAGTCCTGGACTATTGTCTGATGGTTCTCTATCCCTTATAAATAAAACACCTCCCTAGTGTGCATCATCAGCTTTTCTGGGACCAGAGTGCAGTGGATTCAGGAATCATTCTCTATGGCATCAAGCATGTGTGGGTCACAATCCCAGCTTCCAAATGTGCATCAACGATGTGAGACCCTGTGAAGGTTGCTTACCACGAGTCTCAGGTTCCCACTCTGCCAAATGAAGAGAATTGTTAGCCAGTCCTCTCTAGGGGTGGTTGTGAGAGTTCATTGGGGACAGGTGTTGGGCTCAGTCGGTTAAGCATCCGCCTTCGGCTCAGGTCATGATCTTGGGGTCCTGGGATTGAGTCCCGCATCGGGCTCCCTGCTCAGTCGGGAGTCTGCTTCTCCTCCTGCCTGCCACTCCCTGTCTTGTGTGCGTGCTCTCTCTAATATAAATAAAATCTTAAAAAAAAAATAAAGTGTGGGCCAAGGACCAGCAGCATGAGAATAATCAAACCTCAGAGAAGACCTTGTTCCTGTCCCTTCGCCAGGCTGGCTCCACAAGGTCAAAAGAATGCTAAGGCAACAAAAGGGCTGAGGGGAAAACACAGAGATGAGTCCAGCCCACTCCCACCCCTTTTTCTGGATCCTCCTTCCCAGGAGGGACCCAGCCTTTCTGAAACCGCTCCGACTTAGATGCCCTACTGGCCTAGGGCTCAGGACCTTGTGCCTGTGGATTGGGGTCCTT